ATTCCTTGGCTGTTTCACCGGACCGTTGATCCCTCTGCTCGAAGGTGTGGCGCCATGAGATAACGGACACCTTGGGGTGGAAGTGCTCTTTCAGCAGCTTCTTCAGGTCTGCGTAGCTTACAGACTCTACTGGAACAGGTGCTACAAGATTTTCTGCGATTTCGAAGGCGTCTTGGCCGCAAACGCAAAGCAGGGTGGCGGCCTTCAAGCTATCTTCCCTCACTTGGTTTGCCTTGAAGTAGTTCTCCATTCTGGATACGTAGGACTCCCACCGCTCTGGATGTGAGACGTCGAATTCCGAAAGCCTTCCGATTTTCGCCATCTTCGGATCTTCAGGAGACGGGTCTATCAGCCAGCCTACCCCCGAATGCGCACCGGATTGGCGGGTAGCTGCGGAGTCGACGCCGTTCCTCTTCCGCCGTTCAGGACTCCTCGGGTAAGCTTACACTTCTTCCTTTCCAGGTAGTGCAAGGCATCCCACCTTCGTCGCCAGTGTTGCGTCCTTGGCGGGAAAACAGACACGAGAAGCAGCTGGAGTTCTCAGTTTCTTTTATTCAGCGTTCAGCTTACAGGAAGATGGCTTCAGCTCAGCCCAAACGCCTCACAGCCTCTTATATAGGCAACTCCCGGGTAAATGGGTTACTTTCCCGCGCCAGCACCCGCGCATGCGCACGGCGCTGGCGACAGCCTGTCTGGTCCCGGGCAGCTTTGCACCTGCCCGGGACTGCCTGCAAACGCCCGAGCCGTTTGCAAGGCTCGGGACATAACACCCGGGATATTTAGTTTACTTTGTACACCTGTGAGATTTAAGGACCTTGAAAAAGGTCCCTATTTTGCATCTTAACCTCTAACAACAATATGCAAAGAGGGGGGAATCTGGAGAGCACAAAATTGATGGTTTCACTTTTTTTGCGTTCTGGATGTAAATCAATGTGCCCTCTTAAGAAGGCTTTTTGGGGACAACAGAGAATGAGATGGTTGGATGGAGTCACTGAAGCAGTAGGTGTGAACTTAAATGGACTCCAGAAGATGGTAGAGGACAGGAAGACCTGGAGGAACATTGTCCATGGGGTCGCGATGGGTCGGACACGACTTCGCAATTAACAACAACAAGAAGGCTTTGAACCAGTGGTTCTCAACCTGTGGGTCGGGACCCCATTTGGGGTCAAACAACCATTTCACGGGGGTCGCCAAACAATGCAGTCCGCCATTTTTTTCCCCTTTTCCTTAGCTGTGCTACTCCCTTTTATTCTATTGGCTTTTGAAAGCCACTAGAATAGACTCTCTTGAATAGAGTCTAATTCTATTGGCTTTCAAAAGCCAATAGGAATTGTCCAGGCTGTCTCTGCCCTGCTGAGCCCGCCAAAAGTCCCATTCTGCAAACAGTGCTGCACCAGTTGAGTAGTCCTCAACTTACGACCGGTTGAGTAGTCCTCGACTTACGACTGGTTGGGGGGGGTTGCGGCATTAAAAAGGTTGAGAACCACTGCTTTGAACTATGGTGCTGGAGAAGACTCCTGAGAGTCCCCTGGACTGCAAGGCAATCAAACCGGTCAGTCCTAGAGGAGATCAACCCTGACTGCTCTTTAGAAGGCCAGATCCTGAAGTTGAAACACAAGTACTTTGGCCACCTAATGAGAAGGAAAGACTCACTGGAGAAGAGCCTAATGCTGAGAAAGATTGAGGGCCAGAGAAGAAGGGGACAACAGAGAATGAGGTGGCTGGATGGAGTCACTGAAGCAGTAGGAGTGAGCTTAAATGGACTCCAGGAGATGGTAGAGGACAGGAAGGCCTGGAGGAACGTTGTCCATAGGGTCGTGATGGTCAGACATGACTTCGCAACTAACAACAACAACAAAGAAGGCTGCCTTCTACAGCTGATTCTTTTTGATCACAATCTTGTTATTGTAGATCTGAATGCAAAGGAAAGCCTTTTGCTCTCAATCGCTTTGAGAATGCAAGCAAACATATTGCAGCATTATGCCATAAACCTATTCATTCACTTTACCATAGTCCCATCCATTTTTTAAAAAATAATCCCCAAATTTATTATTTTTATAAATCACTCAAGGGGTCAAACACATCTAATATTCCTTCCTACTCCTATTTTCCTCACAACAAACTCGTGAGGTGAGTCGGACTAAGAGTCAGCGACTGCTCCTAAGTCACAAAGCTGAGTCTCATGCATAAACTGGAACTGGAATTCAGTCTCCTGAATTTCCGCCTGGAGCCTTAACTACTAGAGCAAGCTGGTTCTCTGATTTGATCATTTCAGAATTTATAATTGACAATCTGATAATCAGATTGGCTGATCTGATTTGATAAAAAAAATCTTAAAATGACATTGCTGGCAGTTTTGGAGATTATGGTCCAAATAGAGAGCACCAAAAAGCTTGTTTTATAAGGCCCCCAAGCTTGCCAAATAGCAAGAATATGGCTTATGTATAAAACCAGCTTTTGGACAAACTAATACAAATATGTATCTTTATAAAATCATACACTTGCTTAAGAAAGCATAGCAGCCACATTTGTCCATATTATCAGAAAAATATCACCTACACGTGGAGATTGCCAAATCTGATGAAAACAAGATTTCAGCGTTGCATATATTGTCTGAAAAGGTAGAACCATCCTCAGGTTAGATAGTGTTCCAATATTTAAAGGGTCAACCTATTCTTCAAATCACCTGAAGGCAGAAGCAGAAGCAATAGATGGAAGCTAAACAAGGGGAGAACTGACCTAGAAATAAGGAAAAACTTTCTGACAGTTAAACAACTAATCCGTGGAATGACTTGCTTCCAGAAGTTGTGGGTGCTCTAACACTGGTTTTTAAGAAGATTGGACAGCCACTTGCTTGAAATGGTATAGGGTTTCCTGTTGAGCAGGGGGTTCTACTAGAACAGACATGTCAAACACAAGACCCGGGGGCCGGATGCGGCCCGCAAAGTGGTTTCATGTGGCCTGTGAAGCCATCCTGGAAACAGTGAGGGAACAGCCCCCTCTGCCTTGGCTCTGGCCCAGGCCAGCCGGGAGCCAATGTACAATTTTGTGGTGGCCCTCTATGTTGAAACGCATTCAGTCTTAGCTCCATAAGCCCCCCCCCCCCCGCATGGCCCGAGAGGAACAGTGAGGCTCCTCCAGTGGACCATGCCTTGGCACTTGCCCTGGTCCCATCCCATTCTGCTAGAGACCCTCAGATCTATCCCACTCCTGCCCAGGCCCCCACAGGCACCCTTGACGTGAATGATGTAGAGCTGGCCACACCCACCCAGTAGGCCACACCCACTCCATCCATACCCACCCAGTAGGCCGCACCCACTCTGGCCACACCCACCCGGCCCCCTGAGGGCAACCGCAATGCTGATGCGGCCCTCAATGAAATTGAGTTTGACACCCCTGTACTAGAAGACCTCTAACATCCCTTTCAACTTCTGTTATTGTCATTTCCTCAAGGATCACAAAATGTCACAGGTTACATCAACAGCAGCACTCTGTTGTTTGAAGTCATATATCCAATTTCAACTTGCAGAATTGCCCCACGTTGGCTGAAGATTTTGGGAGAGCAAGAACAACATACACAAGGAAGCCCCTGGCTTGCAAAACTTCTATTAGGCAGAAAATGTGTCAACAGCTTAAACTGCCCAAAGATAAAGCTGAATTTATCATACACAAACTGTCATTTCTGATACGCTTAAATTCAATTCTTCAGACGTGGAACTTCCATGTACAAATAAATGGTAGCATAACTGCACCAGTAATTCACAGAACAGGCCACATTTCCATGTCCACTTGTGACTTTAATTCATAAGGCATTTCATTATCCATCACTGGAACAAGAATTTCCTAATTCCTTTTCAGACTTTCTGTTATGATCCAACCAACACAATCATGACTACATTCTTAAATTATTTCAGACTGGCAAGGATACGGAGGCACTTCCATGTGGCTCTCCGCCAATTTCATAAAAATAACATTCTCAGTTTCTCTCTCCCTTTCATACACAAACAGAAACACACATTTGTGACAGGTTTTATTTGCTTGTTGTCTGGGTAATCAGCACTTTATGAACTATGGACTTGGAAGGCCGGACTTCGAATGACAAAAAGATTGTTAATACAGCTGGGCAGTTATTTTTTTGTTTTCTTGTGAGAACCTTGGTAAAAGAAGGACACTTACCTATGCAGAAGTAGCTCTAGCACAGTGTTTCTCAACCTTGACAATTTTAAGCAGATACATCAACCAGAAGCTTGGCCTAAACTGGAGTGCATTCAGATTTCCACAACAAATTATTTTGCCTCTGGCTTTTCTATTCTTTGCATGGAACTTTTTTTTTTTTTTGCATTTGTCCTAAACCAGACCTGGCTGAATAATTAACCCAGACTATAGAAAGGCATTGTTTATGTGGCTATTGAAAATGTTAACTGTATACCTAAACAGTTAACCTCTCTCCTTCTAATATCCACAAGCATAATCCACTTCCCAGGCCATGTTAATTCTGTAACTGCTTTGTATCCATTTGCTGACATTAGTGGAGGAAACAAACATTGCTATCAGATAAGATGGTCCTTGACTTAGGACCACAATTCAGTCCAAAATTTCTGTTACTATGTGAGACATTTGTTAAGTGAATTTTGCCCCATTTTACCTCTCTTGCCACAGTTGTTAAGTGAATCACTGCAGTTGTTAAGTTAGTAACATGGTTGTTAAATGAATCTGACCCTCCTCCATTGATTTTGCTTGTCAGAAGGTTACAAAAGGTGACACTGGGACACTGCAATCATCATAAATATGAGTCAGTTGCAGAGGTCGTAAGTGTGAAAAATGGTCATAAGTCACTTTTCTTCATTGCCGTTGCAACTTCAAACAGTCACTAAATGAACTGTTGTAACTTGAGGACCATCTGTATAATTGCTTTTTTTTTTCGACAGAGGCAATAGTAGAATGTAATATTGGCACTACTGATGATCTTAAGTCCTTTTAACAACCTTTATCATATGCAGGACAAGAAGCAACGGATGGAAACTAATCAAGGAGAGAAGCAACCTAGAACTAAGGAGAAATTTCCTGACAGTGAGAACAATCAACCAGTGGAACAACCTGCCTCCAGAAGTGGTGAATGCTCCAACACTGGAAGTTTTTAAGAAGAGACTGGACAGCCATTTGTCCGAAATGGTATAGGGTTTCCTGCCTGAGCAGGGGGTTGGACTAGATGACCTCCAAAGTCCCTTCCAACTTTATTATTATTATTAACTCTACTTTTGTGTATCTTTCTGGATCCCCTAATAACCAAACAAAAGCTCACAAAAATACCTTTGGTACTTGCTTTTTAAAAACATCCTAATGACAAATGCAATTGCTCAATTCAAAGAAGTGAGGGGAACGGATGAAAAAAAATGACAAACAGCCTGGTTTAATTTCAAACGTTAATATATTTTCTATTTTATAGGGAATATATGTTTTTTTCACCCTTAATTTGCAGCAATGGTGGCATCCTCATAAAGAGGGGTGAAATTTGTAAGATGCCTCTTAAAATAAATATTTTTTATAAAATAATAAAACTTCAAATAAATATTCTTTACACTAGACAATATATTGAAAAATTAGAAAATAAAGACTCAATTTTACTGCAACTGTCCAAAAGGAGAGAGAGAGAGAAAAAAAAAAGAAATCAGAGTCTTGCAATTGAAGGGCTTCATAAGGCAAAAAATACAATCTAAGCCATAGGGATTGATTCACATTCTTTTGAATGTACAACATATTAGTATAATATTTTGTGACTCGTGTGCCATACTTGTTTTTATGACACTTGTGTTTTCACAGTTGAAAATATCCTATATACAAAAATATAGCACATCTCTGGCAGAAAATAAATTGGGAGTGGGTTGAAGTAGTTTCCTAATTTACAAGTGTACTAATTCCTTTAAAAACACACAAACGCACAACACGTGAGTTTGCCTAGAAGTAGCTTGAGTCTCTTAGCTTATGCAATACTTGGGTGCTGCCACTTGGATCTCCACTGGTCGGATTCTAAAGTGGGGTCTTCACAAGACTGGACTTTTTTCACTGCTGCTTCTCCCCTCCCCAACCACCAAGAAACAGTGCCACAGTTATAGATCATTTAGCTGGCCCCATTTGATGTTCTTTCGTCATCCTTATTACCCGATTAGTGATGCTATGTTGGCTTGTCAATAATCCTGGGTGGGACTTTGGGAACTTTACAGCAAACCGTGTTGGACTGTTTACAACGACAACCTGGCCTGTTAACTTGGTCGTAACAGCCCTGGCACAATTTAAGGCAACCCTTGGCTGGTAGGTAACACCACAAGCAAGGCAGAACAAGGGACACGACCCCCATGGTGGACCACCGAGTGCAACAGTGGGCCTGGCTACAGGAACACGGGTTATCAGCACAGTTGTCCTCATCGTCATTGGAGCAGTGGTAGAAAAGCCCCTTCACACAACAGACACAGGTCCCGTAATCTACCATGTTCTGGGCTGAGCAAAGACATTGCTTATCACAGATCCAACAGGATGGAAGAGTCCGTGGATAAGTGCATTCCTTACACTTGCATTTCCCACAGTCCTCACATCGGTAAGCATGCATATGCAAATTTTCTTTGCTGGGGGGTTTCAGCTCCCGAGACTTCAGTTCCGATTTCGGCTGTACTCGTATTATCCCCTCAACAACTGTCCCCAAGGATGACCCCAGAAGTCTCTGTTCGGAGGAATTGCTACTCGTACTTGTCCTTGTGCTACCACGTGAGCTAGTGCTGCTGACCGTGCTGATGGAACGGGAGAGTGGTAGTCGAGAAGAAACATGGACCTGGGGGTGTTGAAGCCAGTTCAAATGACGTTGCTCCGTCAAGTCATGTGGCCTTTCGCTCTTGTGCTGGACCGCTGGATGTGGTGCTGGCTTCAGTCCTGGCCGGGGAGCCACCGTAGGAGGTTCTGTGTATTCATTTGTGTTTCGGATAGCCTTGATCTGCTCCAAGGATAAGACGTGAACTTGTTGTGCTAAGACATCCCTCAGGTCAGAATCTCCAAATTGTCTCCCGGTGTCATGCTGGCCTTGAAGCAAGGGTTGTAACCCACTGCCATTCTGAGCTCTCGTCTCCATCAGTATCCTGAACAGCTATCACTCCCGGAAGCTTAGAACACATCTGAAATCCTAAGTGAAAGAAAGGGAGGATTAGTTGGGTGTTCTTTTGTTTTTGCATTTCCAGGTGTGGATGTTTGCTTTGCCAGGCAATGTAACTGGGTGCAGCATTGCACCCAGTCTCTCAGGAAAGAAAGTCAATCAACCGAGGTCTTGATCTTGAAATAAACACACACTTTAAGGAAACAAACCTTTATTTGCTATCCTGAATTGGGCCAAGTTTATGGAAATGCAACACTACAATGCTTCCCTGGAATTAGGACTTTCAATATCAACCCAGATCTGCATGTAGGTCAGCCTGCAGCTTTTGCACACTTAAGTGTGCTCTGCTTGGCAAGGCAGCTGCATGTGGCTCACTCCACCACACCTGATAAATAAGCCTAGTGAACACCTGTCTCTATCTCGTGCGCTTTACTTTTTACGGCTTACATCTGAATGAGGCTCCAAACAGGCTTTTCAAATTCTTGCCCCAGATAGAAAAATCTTACATAAGTACAGGTGGGAGCCATTGATTTCAGAGGAACTTATTCCATAAGTAAGAGAATGTAGGACTGAAGACTTAGCTGGAGCTTAATCCCCTTCAAGTTGTAAAATTACCATACAGGTAGTCCTCGACTTACTCCTATTCATTTAGTGTCCATTCAAAGTTGTGACACTGAAAAAAAATGACGCAGGGCCGTGTTTCACAGGACTGTTGTTTCATCCTCAAGGGTCACGTGATCAAAATTCAAACACTTGGCAACTGGCACGTATTTATGACCCTTCGTGTATTTATGCAGTGCCCCAGGGTCCTTCTGACAAGCAAATATCAACGGGGAAGTCAGATTTGCTTTACGACCGTGTTACTAACTAAACCAGCTGCGGCAGTTCGCTTAACAGTGGCAAGAAAGATCGTAAAATGGGGCAAAATGTAACCATGTCTTGCTTAGCAACGGAAATGTTAAGCTCCAATGTGGTCATAAGTCGAGGACTACCTGTTAGTAGCCCTGAAGCTCTGGGAGCAAAATGGTAGCTCTGAACATTATGGGGCAATCTGGGAAAAATGTTGGCAGCCCATGAAACGTAAAGACAATGCAGAGAGGAAAAGGAACAATTCTATGCAATGGTAGCAGGAAAAACAGCCAGGTTATTTGGCTCTGGGAGTCATCAAATTGAACAAACAAATGCTTTTGGGTATTTGAGGTTAGTCTTATCTGAGGTGAAAAAACAAACAAACCCGAAAAGCTAGACCCCCCCTTCTCTCTTCAGAATTTTGCATTTGTGTTCCACTTTGCAATTCAAAGTACCAGCAGAGACACATTACAATGCTAAGCACTGTCAGGGTTTGCATTGTGCATTCATAACACCCAGAGATAATCCATTCACTTCCTGAACATAGCCAGAAAAGGTGGTTTGGCTTACATGGGCAAACATCCTACACATTAACAATAAATCACACAGTTCCAGGAACAGCATGTGACACCGCTGCTTCAACTTAAAACTGGGCTTCCTAAAGCATTATTGCTTAGCTGTAAGAAGCACAATGAACTATGCTCAGAGTAACAAAGATGTCAAACTGGAATGAGAGAGAGAGAGAGAGAGAGAGAGAGAGAGAGAGAGAAGCTGAAATTCTTACTCTCTCAAGATTTAGCAAGACCTATTTCACAAAGGTGAACCATAAAGGCTATCAAACTAAACTTTATTATGCTCCCTGCAATTCAGAAGACAACACTTTCGAATATACAAGCATTCAAACACTGCCTGTCTAGAGAACTTTGCAGGATTTATTTCTGAGAAAACCTGCAAGAAATGGCCACACTCTCATGGACATTTGCTTGCAAAGCATTTCATTCCTCAACAACCACTTTGGAGAAGCACTTAAAATTCTGACTTCCATTTGCCTTCTAAGAACATGAACAAACAGAACTCACTAGTGCTGGATGAAAGTCAGGCACAGACCTATTTTGCAATAACTGTATAAAAATGGGTGTTGCTTTTTTAAAATCCTGCACAGGGGAAAATGCAGGAGCCTGGAGGTTTCATATTGTACATTTAGGATTTCCGTGACAAAGCTTCGCCCTAGAAAAAGATTAGTTTGACATCTTCCCACTTGAGCTGATTCTTCCTCCTAGCAACCCAAGCATAGCTCTTTCTCTTATTATAGACTTTTCCTCTGCAGATAGTTAGTTAGTTAGTTAGTTAGATAGATAGATAGATAGATAGATAGATAGATAGATAGATAGATAGATAGATAGATAAAGCAGGCTGATAAGGTGGGATTTTTGGAAACCACACTACTTGTTTGCCTCTAAGCTGTCCTGATCTTGCAGGAAGAAAACCTACAAACAACCTGGAGATAAGAAATGAACTTCCTGGCTGGGCGGAGGTGGGAGAGAAAAAGCAGTGAGAATGGGGCTACTAATAAGATTGCCTTATCAGGAGAGCTTTGCTGTCTCACTTCCTCTCTCCTCCCAAGTAGGGACTTTGCTTATGTAAAGCCTTCTAGATAGCAGCTCCATTCAGGAATATCTTCAAGTCAGGTAGTCTCTCTCTCTCTCTCTTATTCCTTTCCCTGGCCCTAAAAGTATAAGACTCCCTTCAATGTTGCTTTTGATAGGATGTTATTATTCTCTCCTCCGGGAGCCCAGGAAAATACTTTAAAAGGTAGTATTCTCTCTAGCCTCTCTCTTTGATTTGATCTGCATAATCAACCTTCCCCCCCCCCCACACACACACTTCAAGGCATGAGAAAACCTGAACTTTTCCCAAAATAAATAAAATAACAGCCCCCAGAATGTCATTTGTCCATAAGGGGGCTGGGGGCTGCGGTGGAGGGAGCTTGACCTATGAATAAGACCAAAGTCACACTCCCAATAGATTGATTTCTCTATGAATGTCACACAGGTGTTTGGAAAAAAACAGCAGCTCAACTCCTCTTTTGAAACGATGGTTTCCCACCCCCCAATTGATATATATATTTAGCGAGATGGCTTTTCTGCCATTGCCCAAAATCAATGGCTTTTCTGCCATTGCCCAAAATCAAGAGTCATGGGGAGGAAAACGCTCCTTTCCCCCTACAAGTTTCTAAACAGTTCTCTCTCGCTTTCCCAACCTCTCTCTCTCTCTCTCTCTCTCTCTCTCTCTCTCTCAAAAGTCGTTATTAGGCGAAATTGACAAGGCGCATACAGACAGGTCCCTTTGACAGACAGAAGCGTATAAGGGGAAAGGAATAAAGGCAAACTTTCCGTGCCATTGAGAACCTTCCACCGTTGTTTCCTGCCACTGAATCGCCTTGTCTTCGTGTCATATTTACGGCCGGAGGTTAAATCTCTGCAGTTAGAAAACGGCCCAAACTAAGAGGGGGGGGGGAAGGGAGATTGCCAGCCTTTTTTTCCCCCAAAATAAGGAGTGTCCCCCCTCTCTCCCTCCCCAAAATAAAATAGAAGGCAAGGAAACTGGTAGGGCAGATGTCAACAAGCGTTGCTCCCAAAGTGATTTGGTAGCGGCCTTGCTCCCCTTCCAATCGGTTTCCCAAGCAGAGGGGGACGAGAAGGCCGGGGGAGGGGGGGAGAGAAACAGATTTACAGTCTCTCACTTCCGAATGGCACCCAGAAAAAGCTCCCCCCCACCTCCCCGCCCAAAGAGGCACAAGCCAAAGAACCCCGATTTCAGAGTCTGGGGCTGCGGAAGCCCAACCTTTGACAGGTTTGAAGCCCCCCTCCCCACGGGCTCTGGATTTAGCCCGAACCCCGTTTTGCAAAGGGTCCGCCTGCAGGCGAGCTTCCCGGCGCCTCGATCCGGGGAACAGAGTTACTCTCCTGCAAGCAGTTGTTTTTTTTTAACCTGCCCTTGGAAACCACCACGCCACCTCCCATTGACAATCGGGCCGCGGGTGGGTGCTCCCACGCTTGCAAAGACCTCCGCAAAAAGCGGAAGGGGACCAGCAGGTGACCCCCCCCACCCGAGAAATCGGGACTTCAGCCCCCGCAGCCCCCGTGCGCCCTTTCCAAGCCACCTCGCCGGGCTCCATCGCCCTCCGTCCCCACGAGGGAGGGAGAAAGACGGAGGGAGCAAAGCGGGGAAACCCCGCCGTCTCGCACCCCGGGGCAAACGGCTCCGATCCGCACGTTTCTTGTACAAGCCTTGGTTTCTCTCCTCCCGGGAGTTCGCTTTGCAACGGAAGGGCAAAGCTGCCTGCCGCCGTGCAAGCGAGGTCACCCTCACTCCCAAGCCTTCTCTCCCCCCCCCCACAAGAGTCTCTCCCCGCGTCCTCCTTCCTGCGGCGGGCGAGTAAATGCAACCCCAGAAGCCGAAAAGGGAAAAAAAAAAAAAGAACAGAAAAGCGTTTCTTCCGTTTGCAAACTCACTTCGAGTCCAGGTTGTAAGCCAGAAGCATCGAAATGTTTTGCTTTTAAACCGAGGGGGAAAAAAAAATCCACTGCAAACTTGGGAGGCTTTTTTTTTTTCCTCTCTCTCTCTCTCTCTGCTTGCACTTTTCTCCAGAGGGGAAAAATAACAACAAGTCGTAAGCCAGAGAGCCACACGCCGCTGCACCACAATCAACGGATTTCTAAAAAAAAAAAAAAAAACACAAAAAAACGCCCTTTTTCTTTTCCGATCCAGCGAGGATTTGTTTTTTTCTCTCTCTCTCTTTCTCTCCCCCTTCGCGATCTCACGGCGGTTTCCTTAATCGCTTCTGTTGTTGTTGGGGTTTTTTTTTTTATCAATGAAGAGGCCGATTCGTCATTCTCCAGCCACTTTTCTCTGCGTGCACCGTACACAGAAAGGAGCGCGAGGGGAAGACAAGCCCCGGCCAACGACGCGAAGAGTCGGTTCTTTAATAACAATTAAAAAAGTAAAAATAAAAATTACGATTCCTGGAGTTGGCTTTGATGAGCTCTCTCTCTCTCTCTCGCTCAGATCTTTTTCCAGCCCAACCAAGAGCGGCTTTTTTCTCGGATCGCTCGGCTTCCCCAGACTCCGATCGGTTGCAAAAAACCGTTTGCAAAATAAAAAAAAAATGATAATGGGAAAAAAAATAGGAAAAAGGGAAGGTAGCTTTTCTTTTCTTTTTTTTTTTTTAAAGTGGTGGCTTGCTTGCTTCCTCGGAGTTTGTGTGCTGTACGTGAGTGCGTGTTTTTTTTCCCCCCTCTCTCTTTCTCTCTCCCTCTCTCAAGGCAGCTTTGCTGATTGCAAAAAAAAAAAAAAAAAAAAGGGAGGGGGAGTTGCTGTTGTTTTAAAGGGGAGGGGAGAGGGGAAAAAAAATCAGCGGTTGCTTTCTGCTGCTGCTGCTGCTGCTGCTGCTTGTATCTTTGCAGAAAAGCAGGTTTGAGATCCGGTCTCTAAGAGCTTCGGCGTTTTTCTGCTGCTCCCTCGTTCCCCTCCTTCTCTGGCTTTTTTTTTTTTTTCTCCTTTCTTTTCTTTTTTTTTTTTTCTTCTCCTTTCCGGAGGAGGCAGGGTGATCTCTCCGCAAAAGCAAAAGTAAATGGCGTCATGTGGATCTGAGGAGGAACAGAGCAGTTGTTGTCCTAGAGGATATATCGCATCCGGTCCCAGCTCATTGGCTCGCGCGGGCTACATTCATTTCCCCTGCCAGGGCGCGCTTAGGGTTGTTGCAACTCCGCAGCAGTCGGTGTTCGAGACCCCGGCCGGAGGAGGCAGTAGCTCCCGCTCCGCTCCCTCCCTTTTTTCATTTTAGGGTGGTGGGGGGGACGCCACTAAAATCCCCAGTGCACCCCAGGAATGGAAGGGATCCTATTTGCCCTAAAGAAGCCTCGCTTCGGGGGACCTGGTGGGGGGGGATGGGAAGGGAAAAAGGGGGGGGAAGGGAGACGTATTTTCCCTTCGGTGACATTTTGGACAAAGGGGGGGAAAAAAAGCGCAGGCAGGGGACTCCAACCTCCCTCTTCCCCCCTCCCCCCCGTCTTGCTGTCCTGAGATCAGATGGGGTTCGCACCCCTAAATAAGCTGGTTGAATCTTGACCTTAGCCAATGGTATTTAAAAAAAACAAAAAGCGGAACGGAGGCAGAACTTTTTCGGGGTGACAAAACAAAATCCACGCACCCCTTTTCCCCCTCCCGGGAATGCCCCCTTATTCCTCCCCCCCCCAACCTTCACCATCCCAAATTGCAAATTGGATTTTATTCGGGAGGAGGGGGCGTGAATTATTTTCCTCCACGAGACTCCGAGGCGGCGGGGGGGGCCTCCTCGTTTGAAGGCCCCCTTCTTTGGGGATCAACCCCGCTGAATTCGCTGCCTTTCCTTCCTGAGCCTACAAAGAAAGCCGTGGGACGTTAGACGCCCTTGGGATGGGGCAAGTCCGAAGCGGGGGCGGGGGGGCAAGCGGTTTCGAGGGACCGCAGAGTCAGACCAGGCAATCGCCCCCCCCCCCCACAAAAGACCCAAAGGAAGCTTGAAGCAGACCTAGGCAAGGCAGCAGGGCCGAAATAACTTAACACGTGGTGCGGGGCATTGCATCATGAATGTAACTTCGCGGCTGGTTCCCACCCACCTACCCCCCCCTTCTCCCGTCCCCCGCCTCCATTCAAAGAAAGGTAATCCAATCACCTAGCCGATTTTCCAGGGCGCTACGCGGGGAGGAGAAAAGGGAGGGGATCGTGTTGGGTGGATTATCCCAAGGAGACGTTTGAGTACAAGTGTTAGCTGCAATTCCGCCGCCGCCCCCCCCTTTCCTCTCCTTCCCCTCCCCTTTCCTATCCTCCCCACTTCCCCAACACCACCCCCGTCCCCGTTCACCCTCTGCGTGTTTAGTGTACGTGAGAAGCAGAATGCTGCCCTGGTAGAAACGGACCAGGGCTATGAAAAATGCGTTTCTGTATAAACGAAGCACAGTTTTTTTTTCCTTTTTCTTTTTTTTAAAAGGAAAGTGCGTGGGGAGGCTTAGTAAGAATAGGAAAAGGGCAGACGTGATGCGAGGTTTGTTTATTTGGAAGGGTTTTCCACGGGGGATTATAGGGAGGCATTATTTTCTGAATGAACATACATAGGAGGCTGGCTACTAACGGTTGGAAAGCCTAGCCTTTTATAAGCTTCTGATTCACTGGCTGGGGTGAAAGCCTGGAAAGGGTGCCAGAGAGGGAAATTGGTTGACATTTGTCTTGCCTGGAGTGGGGGGGTGGGCAGGCGTTGAAGCCTTCTCTGACATAAGAGAAGTCAGTTCTCCAGAATGTCCATGCAGAGAAGAGCAAAGCAAAAAACGATGAAGGGGCTGGAGGCTAAAATGTAGAAGAATGGTTACAGACGGTGGAATTCAGCCGGTTTGCACCACTTTGGCAGAACTTGGTAGTTAATTTTTTGTTGCCGGGGCCCAGAATGGACTTCCGGAAGCAGCATCCACACAGAGAACTGGTTGTTCACATATTTGAATCCCACCACTGGTTACAGGAATTGGGCACCTCTATAGTCTATTGAAAAGAAGGACTAGAGGACACATGATAGCACATGATAGTTGAGGAGCTCCTGCGAAGGTGAGAGGGTCAAATTATTTTCCGAAGCACCAATAGGCAAGACAAGAAACAATGGTTGGGAAATAACCAAGGAGAAAAGCAGCCTAGAATTAAGGAGAAATTTCCTAACAGTGAGAGCAATTAACCGATGGAATAGCTTGCCTTCAGAAGTTGTGGGTGCTCCATCACTGAAGGTTTTCAAAAAGAGGCTGGACTTTGTCTGAAGTGGTATAGGGTCTCTTGCCTGAGCAGAGAGCTGGACTGAAGGACCTCCAAGGTCCCTTCCAACGCTGTTAATTCTATTTCAAACACTTTTTGAAGAAATGAGTTGAAACAGAAAATGCTGTTTGATAGTAAGTATTCCATTAAAGGTAAAGAAGCTATGACCGTAGCCATTTGTTACTATTCTAATTAAAGTATCAGATTTTTTTTTTTTAAATCCACTGTATATTCCATTAGGAATCCTTTGCAAATGATTGGCAGGTTAATGTAGGTAAATGTGTATGGAGATTCTCCATCATCCACTCATGGCTGTTCCAAAGGTGCTTTTCAAAAGCAACTGGATTTCCTTGTTTTTTTTTCCCTTGAAAACGTTTCATTTCTCATCCAAGAAGCTTCTTCAGTTCTGACTGAATTCTGAATATATATTATTATTATTAAACGTACATATATCATTTTACTGCTTTCAACCTTGTAAGCCACATAGAGTCACCTTGTAATGAGATGAGCGGCAAGTAAATTTAATAAACAAATAAATTAGAAACAAAAAAATTATCTCCAGAAAAAACAAATTAGGCTTGCACGTGTATTTCTTTTATGCTGTGCTTAAGGCAGGAAGACATTAATCACAGATTCTTATCTCAAATGGATAAAAAATATTAATAAAGTGTAGAAATAATAAAAAGAAAGTAAAGGTAAAACAAATCCAGAAATCTGGATCGTAACAGAAGAACTCTCCAAACTGATAGTTTTTGTTTGAATTCTGCTTCTTTGACTTGATAAGCAGCAGCAACAACAACAAAAATGTTGGCAACATATTGACAATCCATTTTTGCATACCAGTTGAAATGCTGAAGAATATATTTTTTTTTCACCAATCCCCCAGGCCATAGTTCTGGATTTGTTGTTAAATTCCAAATACCAGGCATATAGCCAAGAAGAACATGTATATATATCTTTAACACAGTGATCAGTCCAGAATCATGTTAACAGGCTTGTGGATGTCAGCCCAAGTTCTGAACGTGGCCATAATAGAAGACCAGACAGCCTAGTTCAGTGGTTCTCAACCTTTTTAATGCCGCGACCCCCAACTGGTCGTAAGTCAAGGACTACTCAACCGGTCGTAAGTTGAGGACTACTCAACTGGTGCAGCACCGTTTACAGAATGGGACTTTTGGCGGGCTCAGCAGGGCAGAGACAGCCTGGACAATTCCTATTGGCTTTTGAAAGCCAATAGAATTAGACTCTATTCAAGAGAGTCTATTCTATTGGCTTTCAAAAGCCAATAGAATAAAAGGGAGTAGCACAGCTAAGGAAAAGGGGGAAAAAATGGCGGACTGCGTTGTTTGGCGACTCCCGTGAAATGGTCGTTCGACCCCAAATGGGGTCCCGACCCACAGGTTGAGAACCACTGGTCTAGTTCAAACCCTTGAATTGCATCTTTAGCAGCGAGGTGGTTGTAGCCAAACCTTATTAAACGTTCTGGGGTGACTCTTAATAGACATCAAATGACATCTGTGTTGCTCTGACTTCATTTAAAGATCAAAGTAATCTTTCATATTATGGAACCGCAGTTTCCTCTTTTGTCCAATGGTGGCCTTCAGTTTCAGAAAATCTGGATCTCAAGCTGCTGTTTGTGGAAAGGTCGGTAAGAAGCCCTAGAGTTACTGTGGATCTAATTAGAATAGCTCTCCTTAGGAACTATCATTAATGCATAAGTAAAGGGAACTTTCACTGTTGTGCACCATCTATCATGCAGTTCACTAGAAACTTTTGACATCTTATTATTAGTTTCCCTCAACAACCTAACAGTAATTTTTAGAGAAGATTTAGTGAAGATTTGAACTTTGATAATTAACTTGTTACTGTATGTCCTGGAATTAAAGCCCTTCCTTCCTTCCTTCCTTCCTTCCTTCCTTCCTTCCTTCCTTCCTTCCTTCCTTCCTTCCTTCCTTCCTTCCTTCCTTCCTTCCTTTGTTTTAAAGTTTCTGATTCTATGGTCCAGTTGAAAGTTACACCTTTCCCAATGTTTTCCTCTGTTTATCCAGTTCGGAGTCAGGTGCAATTTCCCAGTTAGACATTTCTCTTCCTCAGTTTTATGAATGACCAGATTTCTTTTCTGCATTATAACCACTAGAGGGGGAGGCTAATTGCTTAGCTTTAGTGAGCTGTTAGAAAAATAAGTATGTCAGGGATGGAGAAGAGGCGAAAGCATTTGTTTCTCTATTGATACCCAGAGTTACCAGCAGCCTTAAGAGCTGGCCATTGTCTTCTGTCTTCTGCATTAAGGGAAAGGACTGGAAAACTGAAAAACTAGGTTGGTATCAGTGGGACACATCTGATGATGTGACCTAGTTAGGGTAATGAAATGTCTGCAAGAAAACAAGCAAGCTCAGAGAGCAGCAAGGACCCCTCACAACACTGTTTAATGACCGTGTGGACTTACAACGGCCCTGAAAAAAAGTGACATGATGGTTTTTCACACAACCGTTGCAGTGTCCCCATGGTCATGTGATTAAAATTTAATATAATATGTGGCAACTCATATTTATGACAGTTCCAGTTTCTTGAGGTCACGTATGGGGGACTGTTAGTAACACCTAACAGCCGTGATTCATTTAAGTGCAGTGATTCATTTAACCACTGGGGCGAGAAAGCTTGCAAAATGGGGCCCAAAATCAACAATCTTTTTGCTTAGCAACAGAAATGTTGGGCTCCATTGTGCTTGTAAGCCGAGGCCTACTTGTACTGTAGACACTGTTTAATAGTTACCCGTAAATGCAGTTTGGGTATTTGGCTAGAATGATCGTCCTGGATTGAACAGGTAAAGCCTCTTCCCAGCCTGAAAGTTC